TTTGAAAATATTTTATTTGAATATCCGTGTCTTAAAATTAAGAAGCATAATGAAATTCATCATTTTTGGCATCTTTTGTCCTCTAGCTTTCTTTTCTTTTCTTTTTTTGATCTTTCTTTTTTCCTCTCTTGTTTTGTTAACTCTAGTTCAGCTGATACTTTAAAATTTACAACCAGAGTCCTTAATTCTATTTTGTTATTTTGTTTTTGTCGAGCTTTTCTTTGTTCCTGAAGTCTCTTGCTCCAGCCTGCTTTCAATTTCAACTTTAATTCAGCTGCTTGTTTTTCTTTTGCAAGATTTGTATCTTCTTTTCTTTTGCTTCTTTAATTTTCTTCTTGGTCTCGTGATGTGCTGCTGTGAAAAACTTGACAGATTCTTTAAATTGTTGTACTATAGATTTCAGAACTATTTTGTTATGCTGTTTTTGTCAGCTTCTTCTTTGTTTTTGGAGTCTATTGCTCCAACCTAATTCTATTTTTGCCTTTACTTCAGCAACTTGCTTTTCTCTATCTATTAGTATTTTTCTTATTTTATCACCTAGTCTTACTTCCACCATGATACCATATATTTCTTCTTTTATAATGCGGTTAACAGGGTTTTCACCATCTTGCAATATTTCATAATAAGTCTCGTGATCTCTTTCTATAAATGCAGATACTGTATATTTTAATTCTCCTTTGCTATACCACCATAACTCTTTATAGAGTTTTTTTATTTGTTTATCAGCAATTTTTTTTAGAAAGAGTTTCTGTCCAGTATATTCTGCTATTATTAATTTTACATGTTCGTTTATGTCTTCTTCAGGTGTTTCTGCTATTAAGGTCTGAATTTCTTTTAATACCACTTTCATATTTTCAGATATTTCAACTTTCTTTTCTAGGCGCTCTGTTAATATTTGCTTCATGTGACTTGTTGTTTTTCATTGCTATCAAAAGATGTTGTTGTTTGCTGCACATGTTTAACAGCTTTGTTTACTTTTGTCATATAGTTTTTGTTATATCTCCTTTGTTTACTTTTTATTATATTTTGTGTTTTTGTATCACTAAAACAGATCTATGATTCAGGGTCAAGGCCAATTCCCCAAAAATTTGTAAAATGCAAAAAAATATCAATGATTTTTCATGACTTCTGTTTCTTTGCTGGTTCTGCTTTTTTTACTCAAGTCTTCTAAGAGATTGAGTATTTCTTGTAGTTCTTTTCTTCTTTTCTTAGAGCTTCGAGTTTAGTTTTCTAGTGGCCTTGGTATTTTTTTTGTAGTTTTTGTTGTTTTGTTTTTTCTAAAAATTTGTGTTTTGATAATCAGCAAAAAGAGTTGTTGAGTTATTGTTGTAAATAAGTTTATTATTAAATTGATAAACAAAAAATAATTATTTATTATATTTTAAATTTCAAATATAGCTTTAAACTTTTGATATAAATTCAAAAAATTATATATATACCGGGTGGGTGAGAGTCTCTAAACAGAATTCTAAATAGAACTTTTTTTTTATCTCTGCTGATATTTAATTCTATTTATTTTTTATATCAGATAGATGAAAAGTCTCTAAACAATCTCTTTTTTACTATCTCTATATATAGTTTATATTAAATATTGCAATGATAAATATCAGAATGATGTTCTAAGTAAATAAAAAATAGAGTTCTGTTTAAAAACTTTTTGCTTACTTGATATATGATTTTTTATGTATATATTAATGCTAAGAAGTCACTATAATGCAATCTAAAATTTTTAAGATTCTGAATATTCTAAAATTCATAAGCAATTCTAAAAAATTCTTAAAAATTCTCATACATATAAAAATATGAAAAATTGTGATTTGCACATCACTACTCATATGATCAATTAATTTATACTCTGTGTTTGATTCAAGTCAAAATACTGCTCTAATAGTGTGCAAATAAGCATTTTTTAAAATTTCATGCATATAGAATTTTGGCTCATATTATAAAATTTTGGTTCACATTATGGTAGCTTGCTGCTAATGCAAACCAGAATTATGAGATTTGTTAAAGACTTTTTATCCACCTGGTATATGATTTTATATATATATTTTAATGCTAAGAAGCTACTATGATGCAAACCAAAATTTTAATAGATTCTGAAATATTCTGAAAACTCATAAGCAATTCTAAAAAATTTTTATATGCACAAAATTTGAGATTTGTATATATAATGATTGTACTTGAGTCAAGTATTACCCGAGTTACTCACAAGTAATCAGATAACCAGATAATGATTATAGCTACTTGGGTAGATACATCTGAGTAATATCTGGGTAGGTATACCCAAGTATTACTCGAGTAAGTATACCCAAATAATACCTGGGTAAGAATACTTTCATATAATTGACTAAATTATTCAGTTTTTAACAGTAAATATATGCAGAGATTATACTTAGGTCGGGTATTACCCAAGTTATCTGTGGTTAACTGGTTACAGCTTTCTGAAACACCTGATAAAAATTTGCTGAATGGTTTTTTGGAAGTTATTGATTTCAGCATGATCAATACATAACGATAAATTACAATTTATGTTACATTATATATATATAAATTACATTGTAATTGAAAATATATATGCTTTCACACAGACTAACACACTATAGCACTAAACATGTTGGGCAAGTATTTAAACGAAATTTAGTAATATTAAACATGCTGACATTTTGTAATGTTAAAATTTTATTGTAAAAAAATATCAAATATAATGCATATGTCTTTTTATATATATGTAGGGATATAGGAATATATCAGTATATAAGGTAGAGATTTGCATGTAAATTTCTGATATGTAATTTTTGTTATATAAATAACATTGTCCAGAACTGGCACACAAAGTCGGCAAAATTTTTGTAATGCAGGTTAATAATCATGTGCTACTGCATTATTTAACTGTTAATATAAAAGTTATGTATATATGTACATACAGTATGTACAGTACGTATAATTTGTAATTTTATTGAATCTATTATGCTGAAATAATAACTTAACCAGAATGGCTGAAAAATCATTTGGCAGATTTTTTATCAGATGTCTCAGAATGAAAACCGGGTAATTACTAGAGCTACCCGGGTAGATTCACCAAACATATGTAAGATTTGATTGGCTACAATAATTCATGTAACCAATCACATGACAACTTACTCGGGTATAACGAGTAAGATTTTATACTCGGGTATATCTATTGATTACCCGAGTCACTTATTTGTGCGGGTAATACAAACCTCTAAAAAGGAAATGGCCAATCAGAGAACACAATTTCGGATATTCCGGATCAGCCCGACATAGAATCCGAACACGTGCGAAAGAAGAAAAAAAGAAAAGAAAGCGAAAATACTCAAAAACTAGTGTTTAAATCGACCTTGGTTGACTAATAAAAAATAACGGAGATGAAATTTTACATATAAAAAACTCTAACTTATCGCTAAAGTTCACAACCCTAACGTCTTAATCCTAAACTTCTATTTTTACACACTTGGTTTTTTACAAAATTTGATTCCTTTTTTGGTTTGTGTTACCCGCGCAAATAAGTAAATCGGGGTTTACTCGCCGGTTAACCAAATAACGTTTTTTTTGGCGAGTACAAACACTAGTGTCACACAACACACACACACATACCATATATATAATACATATCATATGGATATGTGTGTGTAAGTTGGGTTCATATATAAACCACGTGTATTTAACTTACACATATCCATACGATAACTATAAATTAAGACATTAAATAAGTAATTTCAAAAAAAGGTATTCTGGATAAAAATGATTGTATATCGTATCAATAAGACTAACGATGGTTATAAATTTATTAGAAGTGCAAATTTAATTTTCATGATAAAATTAATGCAATCAGGGGAAAATCAGCAACACTATTCTATAAACCTTTTATAAACATAAAAGAACCCTTATTTCAATCATGGTAAGTTGCTATTCCTAGAGGTAGATTTATGGCCGGTAATTACTAAACTCTTAAATAAACAAACAGGAATAAACTGATAAAAAGAGTAAACCCGACGTGCGGTGCATTAATAGAAACAGCGCTAGAAACCTTATCAAGCTCATCAATGATCTTAATATCAGCACACATGTACCATGTCGTATTGGTTGGAGAAGTATCATTGCCTTGAATAAAATATGTTTGAAGAATACCTTTTGTGCCAACAGTTGCACCGGCCTTGGTTAGATCAACAAAGGTCGTTAAATTCTCACCCAATCGATTAGTGACGTTATAGAATATCGGCTCTTTATTGTTTGCAATGAAAATAAAATAATTAAGTAATTTTAAATCCAAATTATGCGACAAAATCATATATTCACCTGCCACGGGGTTGAACTTAGCACCGCCATCGTTAGAATACAAATAAAACAGAGTACCATTGGTATCATGATTATGTGCAACTGTAGAATAACCCTTTACTATTATAATAAATTAATATTTATTAGAAATGGAAATAAAAATAATTTTACAGAATATTAATTCGTATACTCACTAGGAAAAGAGGAAACGGTGGTCGGATTAAAATCACGTTCGCCACACGGAGCACCATAATCGCCAATAGCGTCACTTCTAGCTCGAGGCACCAAAAGCCGATAATGCGCGATTACAAAGTTAAGCAAAAGCATAAAAAAGATGCCAAAAATGATGAATTTCATTATGCTTCTTAATTTTAAGACACGGATATTCAAATAAAATATTTTCAAA